AGAATGAAAAGACAGACAAGTATGAATGAAGAGAGATTAAGATCACCATTAAAGAGAAGACAAGAGGAAGGACAACACAATACGAAAATAATCAGGAATAGTAAAAGAAAAAACAAGGGTATATGACCTCTCCAATTCAGGGAGGTGTAGTATTGTGTGCAAATTAGATAAGTATAAATAGAGAACAACTGGCAAACATAGGGGCTATGCCTAGCAAACCCAGTTGCTCTTCATGATACATAGAACTGTACTATGACTACTACTACACAGAGATATGCAAAACATAACAGGAGCAAAACTAAATCATTCTAAAATTGTTTTTGTAACATCTTTGCTATCTATTTGTTTACTTTAAATTGTGTGAGAAGCTCTGGTTATATCAGAAAATGGCTTTAAATTCTTGCAAAAAAATTTTCAGAATAATATGAAATTTTCCTTTGGCAAGTGCAATAAGTCTCCTCGCTTTGTGATGTTTTGTCCTTCAGGACTTCATCAGAATAATTTTGTTATGTTGATAGGACTTCACGTGTATGGCGAAGGGGTGCTGGGAATTTTAGATTTTTTTTTTTTCCAGCCAAATTCATTTAGAGTTTGTTGTTTTTTTTTCTTCATCACTTTTGTTAGTAGATATTCCACACTGATATTAGAAGATGTGCCAGAAATGGTGAAATATTGTAAGAGCCGGGGTGCAAATTTACTGTAGATGACCTTGTGATTGAGACACTCTCTAGACATTTACATCATAGTCAATTATCTTACTCCATTGCCCGTAATATTTGTCACAAAAAATACATATGAGAAACCTCAAGGAATCTAAATAAAAGATTATATGAACACAAAAGAGACATCTTACAAAATGATACATCAAATGCATTGGTTGCCCATTGTAACGAGACTGACCACAATTTTGACATAAAAAATGCTACCATGACCAAAGGAGAAAATAATTCACTACGACATAAATGTTTAGAGAGTGATTTAGTTACAAGGTCATCTAAGTAAATTTTCACCCTGTCTCATACAACATTTCACCATTCCTAGCAGATCTTCTAGTACCTACTTACAAAAGTGATGAAAAGAAAAAGTCACTGCCTTGTGAATATGTAGTCATACCAACATAAAAAAAATTAGTCCAAAAAAGGACAAAATGCATCGCAGGTAAACTTTTTCGACTTTATCATAAAATTTCTCCACTACTATTCTTGATATATAAAAATATATATTATCACACACACACACACACATATTCATCAGTTATAATTATAAACTTAAAGGAAACACTGAAGATGTTGAAATGCTGAAATTTAGAATTTTTACATTTTAATATATATTTTTTTTTTTTTTTTAAATTATCTCTGGGCATGTATTTCATTCAGTTTCCTTATACTTGTTTTTATCACTTTTACTATTAGATATTCCACATTGTGATAATAGAAGTTCTGCTAAGGAAGATGAAACGTGGTAAGAACCTGGATGCAAACTTATCATGGATGACCTTGCAATCAAAGCAATTTCTATGAGAAAATTATACACCATTTACCTCCTTTTATAGAAAAGGAATGTTTGATGTTATAGTGAATGGACATGTTTTTTCATTGCTGCAAAAAAAGCAATATTTTTTAAAGAAGGAAAGTCATGATTAATTTTTTTATTTATTCATTTATTAAGCTATTCATTGTTTATTATATGATTATATTATTATATATTTATTATTTTTACTTATTAGAATAAATTTTTAGTTTTTAAGACTGGTTTTGGTATACATCAATATTTTTCTTTTTAAAATAAGTTCTTTTACTTTATTACAAATATTTAATATATCACTCAGAATTATATAAGTTGTAGCCCCTAGTTTGTTCACTTGTTATTGAACTCCTCCTGAGGTTTTGGAGATAGACTCCCATAACCACATATATTCTAAAACTACTGGGTATTTGGATAAGTAAATTTCATTTTGATCAAAGAGGATCCCCAAGGGGAACAAACACCACATTGAAAATATTTTTCCCTTTGATTTAAATTAAATTTAAATTTGAACAATGGAATGACTCCTATCCAAAATATAGGAGGAAAAGCCAGATGGAGGCCACATCAGCAAGATCAAAATGAAACAATATGGATGTCAACTTGAGCAAGAAATCACCAATCAGTGTGTAGTAACTTACAATACATATTTGTTGCGATAATTTAACTTTCATATCAATGTTGAAATCTGCTCATCAATTTATTCAACCAAGTATTGCATCAAATACATATCAGATCAAGCTGTTTTGGACCCCCCCCCGGAAATTTATTTCCCTTTGATTTAAATTAAATTTAAATTTGATTTAGGGAATGACTCCTATCCAAAATATAGGAGAAAGCTAGAAGATGTAGGTCACATTGGCATGATCATTGAGTAATAATAAAATGCATCATTTTTCCCCACAAATTATAACAATGATTTAAAATCAATCATCATTTTCTTAGAAAAAATATGCAGCAAGGCACAGATAATTCAGCTAGTATTATAATAAACATTTACAACCTTGTATTTATTTAATTCTTTATACATTAGCATGAATAATTATATTTTTTTATGAAATGGGGCATATTTTTGAATTTGTAGGAAAAGTGTTTCGAGACATTAATGTTCATTTTGTTTTGCTTCTGTCTTTAAGTTAATAGTTAGTCCTTTCTTCTCGCTTTCCTTTACTTGGTCTAAGAGTTCCTGCATTTTTTTTTTATCTTTCTGCCATCAACATGGCGTCATCTTTATATCTTATGCTGTTAAAATTGTGCACACCAATAATAAATCCATATAGGACTCCTATTTCTCTTAGGCTAACTTTGCTGTAAAGGTTAAATAAGTTTGGTGAGAAGAGACATCTTTGTCCTGTGCCCTTTTCTATTTTGTGTACTTGTTCAATTCATTTTCTAGCTATATACAGGTGGTTTACTTACAGTAAACATTTTGGATTATTCTAATATCTTTCCCAAATAAATCAAGTTTCCCTAACAGTTCAAGTAGATCTTAGCATTGTACCTTAACAAATGCTTTTGCATAGTCTATGAAACATTGTGTGTGTGTGTGCATATATATATATATATATATATATATATATATATATATATATATATATATATATCTCCTTCTACATTTGTATTGCTTCTTCTGATGTCATTCTGATCATAAATATCACATTTCTTGTTTCAGTATCTTTAATGAAAATACACTGTTCTTGTCTTATTTCCAGTCTATTTCTACTATGCATACTAATTCACCAAAATTCAGATGACCAGCTTAGTCAAGTGGTTCATTAAGGTAATTGTCCAATGCAGGTTACATTTATTTACACCTGGTTTCTTAGACAGTTCTATGAAGATTGATCCACATGTTATCATTGCTATATATTTAATTTATTTTTGTTGATCCTAAAATTGTCTAATATGGATAGCATTTCTATTGCAATCCTATCTGGTTCTGCTGCTTTATTCCTATTCATCTTGTTCAGTGCCAATCTTCCCTTTTTTTTTTTTTTATTGTAGGTTTCCCTCATTCAATGTGGAAGATTTCTCCAATGTATTCATTCCTTCTTTGGAGTTTTTTTTTTATTGTGAGTGTTCCCTCTTTTAATTTTATGCATCTTATTAAGTAGCATGTCTTTTGTCCTGTTATTTCTTTTATTTTTTTTATGCCTACCTGCCATATCTATGATTCTCATTCTTTCTATTTCTATATGCTTTTCGTTAAGCCATTCAATTTTTGCCTACCTGCATTTGTTTCTAATGTTTATGTTTAATGTTCTATATTCTGTACCATTCTTTGACATTGCTGTCTTTTTTAATAATTTTGAGAATTTCATCTGTCTTGTACTTTTTTACTTGTCTCTCACTTTCGTTGGGATGATCTTGTTCATTGATGTCACTAGAGTTTCTCCTTGAATTTTCAGTCACATTCAAGTTATTATATTTGTCAGCATACATTTCTTTGCAAATTGATTTGTCCTAAAGTCTATCATATTGGAGTTAAATGTTGTTTTGGTTTTCTTTAATTTTTGTAATTTAATCTGAGTTATGATATGACGAGGATGGTTATCAAATAAAAACAGAAGTTCTTCAAGCAATTAAATTAATAGTTGTTTTTTTTGTATCTGTCTGAAAATGCAAATTTTTAAGTAGTTTATATATGCTAAATACACTCTGAAGCAATTAAAAAAATCTCTTCTTACAGTCAATAAAAATACTACTGAATTAGTTAATGGATTGATTACATGTTACTTCATATTGAATAGTGAACTTTTGTATTTTTTATATATACAAAATTTGTGTGTGTGTGTATATATATATATATATATATATATATATATGCAGATTGGATGAATCAATTATTCCTATGAGATAATGTTTGAGTGAAAATTATCTTCATTAAAAATATTAGTATGCAGCTCTACTTTTATGGGATATTTAATTTTTTTTTTTTTGCTAGTAATAAACTGTTATTAATACAAACTGTTCATTTAACATTTTTTAGTTCGAATGGTATTGTTACTAAAATCTGTATAACTTTGTAAATACAACTAGCTAGTTAAAAAAAAAAAAAGCAAAAAAACTGGAACTATGTCTTCTTTCAAAATTTTATGTATATTTAATATCCAGTGAAATTTCAGATAGTATCTGAACAATTTTAGTTTATTCCTTATTTGATTTCTAACTATAATCTGTTATGTCATTTTTCAAGAGGAACTATTAATAAACATTCTTTAAATACTTCAGCCTAGATTCAATGCTGTATCATGGAAAGATAAGCAAATGTCACTGGAGCATAAACTCTTGTTCAAATACTATTTCCAGTTTAATGTTTTGATAACCTAGCTCTTCTTTAATATTGAATATAATTTTTTATAATGAATTAAAAAAAGTTGCATTCATTATGTAATGACAATTTAAATAAATGCATATTTGCAATTGCAGGTGGCGATTATTGGCTAGCTGCAGTTGCTAGCTAGCCAAAGTATGCCATGGCACTAATGTGGCTCTGGACAATTCTGGTATTGTTACTGGTTACAAAAGGTAAGTAGATGTTACCATTAGCTTATATTAATGTGCTTTTGAATCAAATTAACTGTTATTAAATTTTGTATGGCCATAGTTATTCTATTTTTAAGGCTTCATTATTTTGTATTCAGCTTTATGGTGGAGTTTAAAGTGTGTATGGTTTTTGTTTTTTTGTTGTGAATATTTTCTACACTGCAGATAGACTGCAAACTGTCTACCTATTAGAAAAAGCTTATTCATCAACTCCGGATATTTTCAATCAATGATTTAAATATATATATATATATATATATATATATATATATATAAAAAAGCATATTGCCCTGTTGTCAGTGTGAGAAATAAATCAATACCTACAGAGAGGTAAGACCTTTCCCAAAAGAGGCCACCACCTGTTAGCTGTAGGTAGTGACCTATGATATTTATAGATGGTATCCTAGCCCATAATCCCAGAGATTGAGTGGAAATGTGAACTGCAACTTTGGTCCTTATTTGGGATAGACAGTTGGTCAATTGGCTAGTCACACCATCCTAACACACACACACACACATATATTTAAAACATCTTGGTTAATAATATCAAGACCAGCACCAGACCTATTTTCATGTGTGTGTCAGGAAAGACTCCAAACTTAAACATTGCTGTAAAACACATGGTCACACTAAAACTTATGTGAAGTAGCTAATGCTTTGTAGGTGTTTGGAATTTCCCTTGAACATGAGTATATTGTCTGTGTATCCCTATCATGTCATGGTGAATGGGTAGACTCTTTGACATTTAACTCTGAAATGGTGTGGTGACAGTGAAGACTTACAAATAAACCACTCAAGTGATTACATGTTGACGCTGATTTGGATAATGAGAAGAAGCAGCCCTGTTTGAGTTCCCAAGATTACTGGTGAAAATATGCAACATGTTTTTCAAGGAAAGTAGAAATGAGGCTTTGGGAAAACCCAAAAAGAACAGATCACCTTGTCCTGATTACACATCAACCATCCAAAAATTATACACTCTTTTATATTCAGACAGGAATGGCTGAAATGTCAGTTACTGCAGATGATGAACCACTTTTTGATCAATCAAGGATTGTGATTTCACTCTCACTAAATAGTGTTTTTTAGTATAAACATGAAGGACCTATTTGAAAATATTGATTTAGTTGAACAGCTATCTTTTATAAAGGAAGTAAGCATTTACACTAAAATATGAGGATTTGACCAGACATTTATTATTCATGGGTTGAAATGTTGTTAAATAACCTAACCTAACCTAATTTATCAAAGCATGCTCATTTCTTATTGATACTGGCAAAATCACTTTGTTTATGGTAAACACAAGTTTAAGTACTCTTGTCCATCCTTCTTTTAATCCAGTTAAAATTGAATCAAAAGGTTTTATTTGCATTTACTATTTATTTTTGTCAATCAATTGTTCTTTTATGCTAATTTTACTTAGCTCTGGAACCATGAAAGTCAAAGTATAGGTCATGTACTAAATGGATAAACAATTTTAAAAAATAATGATAATTTACTGTCAGTTCCATATGAAATCAAACTGAAAATCTTACAAACTGTCTCTGTAAAAATAGGTCACTTAATAAAATCAGTTGTAGAAAAATTATCATTTTCTCTTCAAGTTCTTCACTTCTAATATATTTGATAAAGTGTTATGTCAATTATATTTTTTAGATTCCTGCATGTTTGGCCAAATAAGCTGTCATTTGTGCAGAAGAAAACTGAACAAGCATTTGTTTTGCCTTTATTCTAAAACTATCAAATGAGGATCTAATACCATTAATCATAAAACAATGATTCTTTTAAATAGAAAATGTGTAGTTGACAATTTATTTTAAATCGCAGTTAGGCATAACAACAATAAATCTCAACTATAGTAATGAATTTTGTGGCAGATGAGCGAGTTTAGAGGACCAGAGATTAATAGTTTTAATAGTGTAATTGACAGAAAAGCTAATTGTTGGCAATAAACTGGTGTTACACAATAACATTAGCTTAAAAAGCAGGATATTTATTTATATATTCTATACAATTGCTTACATGTAAGCATTAATCCTTTTAAAAATATTGCTATCAACTACTCATGCACATTTGTGTTTATTTGACACCCATATAGCCAACCTGTGGTTTATACTGCAGCTATTCTGAGTGAACCTCACAGTTTCTGAGAAAGTGTCCAAGCTGGCACAATCATTAGTTGAATACAGTCAGTGCACTGAAATCCTCAACACTATAACTTGTGACTTTCAGATGGCACAAGCATGAAAGCTTCCAAACAATTTCATTTACCCAATTTTGCTTATATGAGTTGGGTTAACCCTTGATGTCCTTTTTAGGCACTTTCAATGGTGTCACATGCTGGGATCATCCTCCAGGTCGATGATACTAAGAAGTCAGCTCCTTGATAAAATCAACCATTGTAAAATTAGAACCTGGATCTCATGGTCAGAACACTGTTATAACTACTCAGTTGTGTATATCTATATGCCCATACTTACATATATACTATTGAATTTTTCTGTTATGCATAACCACTCTCTCAAAAAAACAAAATGAAGTTATGGTTAGTCTTGAAAATTTTAACAAGATTCTGTATAAGGTAACATTTAAGCTTCTACATCAGAAAGATTTAAAATAAGATTTTAAAATTGGCATTTTTTTATCTTAATTATGACAGTGATACCGGTGTTTCATTTAACCTTCATTAACTATTTACATATATGTGGATATTTTTTTTGAGAGAATGTTATTTCTTTTAATTAAAAACATTAACAAATCATACATCTTTATATTTTCCAGAGGAAAAAAAAAAGAAGAAAAAGATTTTCTTTTCTTTTTCTTATCCTTAAATTAACCTTCAATGACTCATTTTAGTATTTCTTTGAGTTTACCTGGGAGGACTGAAGTGAACCTGTTTGATAGGTTTATTCTTGAAACTAATTTTTATTCGTGCTGTGCTATGTAGTCTTTATTATTTTTATTGAGAGACTGACTTAAAAAAAAAATAAATACTATCAATTTGGTTTTGATTAGCATTTTAATCAATTGACTAGGAATGATTTGATGATATACAAGATTAATACTTATATATATATATATATATATATATATAAAAGTTCTGACCAAAAAGTTCTGACCAAAGATTCATCTATTTATATATATATATATATATATGTTTTATTTCTTCAGTTTTACTGATTTGTTTAATGAAACTGACTTCACATTTATTTATTGATATGCTACTGAAAAGAATAGTTTAATCTATGTTGTGCTATGGTTCATAGCACAACATAGATTGCAAGGCATTAACTGTTGCAATGAAACTTGTATAAACAGTCAAATGTGCTTTTCTGTGTCATGTCTTAATTATTTAATTTTTGAGAACACAATTTTTCCCCAATGTTTAGGCTGGTTAGATCTAATAATTATTGATTCTATTAGTATTATAATTCTTTTTACATCAGAACTACGCATATGACATTACATTTATAATGTTAAAAAAACTAATCTGAAACTTAATCTTCAATTATACACTGTTGAAATTGGCTTCTGGTCCAATAGCACACAAGATGGAAAACTGACAAACTTTAAATGGTCATAACTTTGTTGCTAATTGAGTTAGTAAGATAAATTTGGTACCTTTTTTTTTTTTTTTTGTCACATTCTCTATGCCTTTATTAAATGTTATATATATTGAAAATAAAAAAATTAGTTTATGATACCTACTATTAAGTTAAAATTTGCTGTAATAATAAAAAGCAATAGGAACACATGCTAAACCTTGAAATTACAAGTCAATTTCATGGATTGAGGATAGAAGTAAAATTAACTAAAATATTGTTCTTCATAAATAAACATTGTTTAATTCACACTTGTTCCAGCAAAAAGAAATAGCTAAGAAAAAATATGAAATGTTTTATTTAATTTTTTTCTTGTACTGTTCTGAAGGCCATTTTATATATTTCCCTGATATTTAACTTATGATAGAAAAATTTGGTCTAAATCAAGATTAAATCTTGTTCTGTGTGTATCCATTTGAGTTGACAAAAGCTGGTATTAATCTTTGATTTTAATGAAGTTATTGTAAATGAAAATTTTGTTGTGCAACTTTTAAAATAATTACATATGTATTTATTCTGTTTATAAAATGGGGTTAATATATTGTGTATGCTTATGTTTAAATATTTATTCATATAGATAAGTTGGAATTATTCTGTTAGCATAACCTGTCCCTCAAAGAACCAATATGAAGTTTTGGTTATAAATTGGTTCCAGTTTTAACAAGATTCTATATAAAACAATATTAGTTTTCTACATCATTATATTTTACCTAAGATTTTAAAACTGACATATTTTTATCTGTATGTGATTGCAATAAGCTATTTTATGCTGAAATAATCACTGCATTGAAGTTAAATAAATTTTAATAAAATCATTCATACATTACTTTATTAATTCATATTATTACTTTATTTAAATATGTTGTGTATGTATCTATCATAAAATGTTATTTCCAAAAATAAATTTGTTATGCACTTATGAAGTTCATTTCCAAATAAAATGTGTTAGTATCAGTATATATTTGTATCATATTTAAATATAAAGTACAGGGTATGTGTGTTTATGCATGTGTGTGTGTCCAAGCAACTCCTCTGCTCCCACTGGTCCAATTTCAATGATTCATAGCTCATCCAAAAGCCCTAAAAAGTTAAATGCAAGGAATGATTTTCATTGAGCACAGATTCAGGGTTGCCAGATTATGCAAGGTTAAAAATATATATTAATACATTATTCTAGCCACATTGCTTTCATGGTTCAAAGGGAGTAACTCTTATTTACCTTTTGTATCCAAAATTTCACCTAGCTTAACATTTTAAGGATTCTTGGTTTGGCCATCATCACAATAGCTGAGGAGGAGTAGATGCAATTGGCATCAATAAACTACAGAAGAACTCAAGATTGATTGCTGCATTTACATATTAAACCTTTTAAATGTTCAA